ATGGATGGATGGATGGATGGATGGATGGATGGATGGATGGATGGATGGGTGATAAGTAGGGAGGGAGGGAGGGAGGGAGGGTGAGTGAGTGAAGGAGTGAGTGAGTGATAACTTGGTGGCAGGAAAGAGAGAGCACTTCCGTTTCATAGGAAAATAGCTCCCTGCAGAAAATGGTTGGGAAATGTATTTTTTTTCCATGAGGATCTCCATGCTTGACCTGGGACTTGTTGTGACTCACTTCGTCTCCTCTTTCAGCTTTTCCCCAGGAAATAGGTTGGGCCAGAACACAAGCTAAAAGGGGAGAGCAGTAAAAGGAAATCTTGCCTCTTGCAAGTTCAGCTCCACTGAAAAGGGACAGCACAGAGGTCTGGTTTATTTTCTTGTATAAAAACCGATTTTTGGTTCAGGAGGTGAGGAGTACTATGTCCAACCAATGCCCCCCCCCCTTTTTCAATCTCTCTGCCGTGTTGACATTAGCGGCCCTTATGCTGTTTGATGGAAGAAGGCATTTCCTTGCCCTGGATCTGCTTATTTTGGGAACAGAGGTCCTTGTGTTTGCTCCAGGCTGTCCCCCCCACCTCATGGAGCATACAGCCCCTCTGTATAGATGGAACAGACTTACCTTGTGGAGGTTTGCATGCCAAGAAGGGATTTTTAATGAGGTTCTGCCTGATGCAAGGGACTTCCTGTTTTTTAGGACCTTAGCAGCATTTTCCTTAGGTAGCATATGAAGAAGAGATTCTGAACACTGGACAGTCATTACTAATCTGCTGTTTTTCTTGCCTGGTTTTTATACATCTGGTTATATTGAAGTGTTAACATATTTAGGATTAGGTGATGCAGTGGCTCAGTGGCTTAATGATGCTGGAGATGGCCTTTCCTTCAGCAGTTCGAGCACAGCACGGTGCTCTGACCGAGGCTTCCCGAGAGCATGAAGCGAACTCCTTGTCCTAACAAAAACCCCTTTTATTAATTTCCTGTGAATGCTGCTCATTCACAGCCAGCAAAGTCTTTCAAGGGAGGATTTACAGTCACAGACCTTATCTGGCTTGGAGAGCTGCCAGGCTGATATCTGCAAAACTTGGCAAGGAGCCTNCCTTCCGAGGTGGGTAAAATGAGGACCCGGATTGTTGTTGGGGGCAATATGCTGACTCTGTAAACTGCTTAGAGAGGGCTGAAAGCCCTATGAAGGGGTATATAAGTCTAACTGCTATTGCTATTGTTAACACCTCCCTTAATTTTAAGGTAGCCTTGAATTGTACCATTTAATGTGACAGAAAGGAGGTGAAAACTTTCAACTACACTATTGAATTCCATTTGATTTGAATTACTTTTCCATTCAATTGATTTAGTCTTCGTTCTGGACATCCAACATTCTGGAGGCCTATGTTAAGCCACAAATGTCTGTTGCGCCAAAAAAAACCCACGATTCCTCACTCTTGTTAAGCCAAGCAGTTTTGGCTGAAACCACACAGCACAGTAGCTAGGGAGCAAGAAGGAAAGTGAAGTTACAAATCGAAAGACCTGGAAAGATATTTAAGATGACATCATTTGCAATCGTTGAGAAATGGACCACCCATATTTCAGAGGGTACAGCTGGAGAGGTTATCTTCTCCACACAGTATCTTCGGCCGTAAATTCGTTAGGCAGCCCTGCTGACATAGCAATTATATCTGAAGTCCTATTCCTGCTGGCTTACTGTGGTCAGTTTTGATGCCTTACATCAGTGGGTCTCACTCTTTCCTTCACCACAGACTCCTTTAAATATCTTTTGTGGCCACAGGCCATGGCCACAGACCCCCTCCTCAAGACTTAATTCAAGATTTAAATCAAGACATCTTTTCCAAGCTTTCAGGGACCCCCTGTGACCACAGGTTGAGAACCACTGCAATTATGTGGATCCTGCAGATAGATCCAGTGGTGGGATTCAGCTGGTTCACACCTATTTGGGAGAACCGGTTGTTAACTTTCTAAGCAGTTGGGAGAACCAGTTGTTGGAAGAAATCTCCTTTTGTTTTTTCCACACTTTACAGGGCTAATCCTGAAAAGAGGGCAGGAAGGAAGCATTCTGCTGTTGTTTCTAGCCTAATCTTTATTGCCCTGCTTACAGAAACTGCCTCTCCTGTTAACCCTTATTACATTGTAACAGCTAAGACGAAGCGCCCATCAACATCAGCGATGTTGAGTTGGGCT